TTATCAGAATAGAAATGATTCGTTTATCCGTTTCCGTCAGAAACCCCTCCATTTTCGTAATTTGTACCCTAGTTCCATAGTCGACTAAGATTTTTTAAGAAAAGAAAAAACTGCAGACTTTTCGGTAAACATATGAAAAGTATCTCTCTGTATGATTGCTCCAACTGTTCCATCGATAGGCTTAATCTTAATTATGTCAACCAGGTAGTTTACTGTAGGCATCTTCGCGATGAAATTCTTTTCTTTGTTTTAAAATCTTTTGAAAAATTCAATAAGTGCAATATTGGTGCCGATAGTAATGGCTCCATTGCAAACTAATTGCGTAAAATTGTAGATACCATTTAGACTCGCTCCAGGCGACGTTGGTTTGCCAAGTTTTGATGACCTTTCGTCATGGATTTTCAAATTATGTGTTGATGAACTCTGTGGTGCAATTTTAAGAATCCTGAACATTTCCCTAAACATGTGCTACATGTTCGCGTTCTTATGTCATTTAAGAAAAGCAGCAGACATCTCGTAGAGGATTATAAAGGCATACCCATTCAAGTGTTTTACTAAAAATGTCAAACGTATTCCTACTCGAAGCCTTCCCTATCGGAACGTTTAGCACCTCGTTTTAAATTACTTTTCTACAAGGCTCACAAGCCTCTTAGAATTCACATGTAATATGTCTAAGTCCTCTTCTCTACGACAAGTTACTGATTTTAAAGCTTCAGTCTTCATATCTAGTGAATGCGTAAGCTTATATCCTATTTTACATTTTCTTAGTGCTTTGTGATTGCGTTGTTGGTGTTACGATATATAGAACAAGGAAAAAGAAAAATGTTAGGAGGTGGCGTCCATTTTGATAGTTTTTTGATTTGGAAAAGCCATTTATTGTGGTAAATGAGTATAATACACATTAATCAAAATAGCTTCCATCATTTTCCACAACATTATAATGATATAATATAATATTATTTTATGGCAACATGGGGTACCATGTCGGAAGAAGTTGTATTGGCTTTGCAAGGATCCGCCCACCAACCCATTTTCGCACTTCTTCAACTTCGCGGAGCTGCGTCGATCTGAACAAGTTGTAAACAAAAGTCGCCATGCCTGATGAGTAGGCTGGGCGTGACCTATCATTCGAGTTTCAAGATTGTATCCTTGACAACTTCTGCAACCAGTGGCCCAAAAATAGCATTTTCATTCCATTTGTGTCACCACTGTTAAATCCTTGAAACCAAAACCAACAATTGGAACATGACGGGCCAGCATCGCCATAAGCTTCTGATAATGTTTGGTAGCAGATTTCTTTAATTTAAAAAACAAGAGTAATCAAGGTCGAAAATGCAATTTTGAGCGCTCCACGATTAGCGTCGGCGTAGACAAAAGTTTAAATTATGGAATTTAATCGTTATGTAGACTGGTGTTGCCCATTTCTTTGTAATTGTTACCTCTAGAAATCGTCTATCAAGATCCATGCAAACACCTAATAAATCATTATGTGATCGTTCAGTTCACGTAAACTTCCTTATTTGATTAGCCTCCGTTCAATTTATGGTTAGTTTCTTCTCCACATCTGTTATACGTTTTAAGTTCGGTTCCCTGGTTATCAAGAATCTTTCTCAACACAAGAATCAAATTTTGGAAAAAATTGCTTTTTATTCATTAACGACTACGGATGTTCTGGGCATGTATACCAGGTTTCAAGTGTGTAAAGATTTCACTTCAGAGTTACCCCTTCTATAGCCAGGGTATACTCAGGGCTACTCCCAGGCATTGGTGGCAAGAAAATTCACTGTTTGAGAAGACCTTGTATTTGTTGTATGATTTGGTTGTTTTATTTCAGGAATGTAGATTTTAGTTTTCATTGCTCAAAATAATAATTAAATAGGGAACGATACATGTGCCTGCTAGGGAAAAAAAGCCACAATAGCAAGTATGTGATGCGTGATGCGCCGACCCCATTAAATTCCTCTGAAGCGCTCTTCTAGATGTCGCTCTGACGAATTGCCGAAAAAATACCGTTCTGAATACCGTTTGAAGAATTACCGTATGTTTAATCTGCAATGAAAGTAGGTAGTGTTCAGCGTACAGTCACTCCACCTTAATCCAGGCAAAAATCTTCAGACCGAAGACAGTCTAATTGCAGGAAACAGCCGATCATCAACGTTCTGAAGAAATAATATAGGTTTCTTACCTGAGAGACTGAGAGACTGATCGGTGGTCGCGCGTTGTTTTTATAGCTGTCGATACGCCACACTTGCTATGCTACTAACATAGATATCTGAGAGAGAGATAACTTGAGATGAATTTCTGATTTACGATCTTATGTATTAATAGCCTAACGGTAAATGTGTCCCTCTACATTTGCATTTTGCTGTTGTCAAGGAGATTTAGAAAATTTTCTGCGACGTCGACAACACAAATTGGTTCTTAATATCCAACCGCTCTGTGCTTGTAGGGGTATGTGCACAAAAAACGGATTTATTCTAGACTTTGCAAATGTAAAGAGAGACGTCTTATAACAATTATCCTAACATGTGAGATCAGTAATACACGTGAATTATTGGTATGAGAGCATAAGTATATTAGAGTACTAGAGAGTATATGGGATTTATAAAGCAAGAAATGAATGATAGATATTATAAGCATTTATAAGATATATGTAAGTATGCGTATATATACAAGCGCAGGTGTGGTAAATATATATATAAGTGTGAGCATGGTATATACATAAGCAATCGATCGCCTCCTTGCAAGTGTATGCAAAGAAATAATGAACAACAGGCAAGGGCATGGACAAGCACAAATGATTAAATACTTATCTTACGAAGGCATAGCAAAATGTTGCAAATGGAAAGATTCTATTTCATTAACATATTTCAGCAAACACAGCCAAATCTGTATACGAACGAAGAAGAAGACGCTATTACCATTTAAGTCTATATTATATGGTAGCAGCATACTGCAGCGCTGCACTCTAATAGAAGAACAACCGCGCATATAAAAGTCACTAATAATGAGCGAGTCGTCTAAACGCTTCCAATATCTCCTAAATGGATAAAAGGGGCACTAATGTCCTTAAAAATTCTGCTAAACGTTAAAGATTACCCGTATTGTGTCGGTTTTTAATATCTGTATGACACGATTGCTGTAAAACTGTAATAACAAGCATTATTTATACGTGCAAGGCATACCCACGGTTGACTATTTGTCCTCATAAGGATCATCATTAAATAATTCGGAAGTACATGTGGAATGTACTTTTACTTTTACATGCTTTGAACGTGAAATTAATACCGTTGCAAGAAGAAAATATCATTCAATGTTATGTTAAAGTAACGAATATTTGTGGTAGTGGTCCTTAAGAAGATTGGCCAAAGAACTTATTAATCTTCGGTGGGAGGATGAAGCATGTAATCGAGCAAAATACTTACACGTGTCCCATACAGTTCTGGGGTATGTGTAATGCTAAATATGAGATAAAAGCACACCTAGATATGTAAATAAAAAAGAAAACAAAACCGTTTAACTGTAGTCTTTAATAGTTTAGGTGCACCTTTTAATGTGTTACTTCTACTTTCCTAGATATATATGGAAAAAAAATGAAGGCCAATTTGAAACATTTGTTAGTAATTGTTAAATGGAATTTAAAAGACAAACATTATAAGAACAAATAAGAACATTGTAGTTGGGTAAGACCAATAAATACCCTACGCCACATTGTCTAACATAATTCTTGTTCTGTTCTTGTTCTGTTCTTGTTCTTTTCACAAAAATTATATCCTGTTTCTATGTAAAGACGTATTTTTCAAAGGCTTACTTATGGGGACGCGGACCCAAACGCAACCTATGGTAGTACAAGTTTAATACTTACATAGGGCAGGATCCGAAAATAGGAGTATATAGTCCACATTTTGTAGAGTTATTATAATATTACGAGTCAATTTCCATCACCACATACAAAAACTTGGACTTCTCTGCTTTACAAAGGATCAATTTTCGTGAACTAATAAGCTATTAGGATAGAATTCAAAAATAAGCCGAGATTGTCCAAATTTGGCACAGTTCGTTTTTTTATGTTAAATTACTATTATGATGTAATTTTCGTCACGAAGCATTGAGAATTATATTTTTTTCTCATATGAACTTCAGTTTTCGCTATATGAAAGGGGGTAAAAATTGCCTCAGCAGGTCCAAAGTTTTCAAACCAATTTAGAATTCCCAAATACTGCTTCTTAGCCACTCTTGCCAACAAATTTTGAAAATTAGAATTTTCGAAAAAGAAGACCGATTTCGAATTTTCAATTCATCATAGTCAAAATTGGCTCGTAATAGTAAACTAACGTAGAAGCCAATCTTATTTTTTTGAAGACGGAATTTTCCACTGCTGGCTTTCATGAAAAGTATATTTTGCATGAAAATAATATGTAACTTTTGGTGTATCATTCCCAAGACGAATGAGTAACTGCATTAGGAAAACTGATGTAGGGTATTAAAATTTAAAATGTATTGTGTACGGTGTAAGCACAAGTTCGAAAATTTGAATATGATGAAATAGAATTCGTCTATTCAGAAAAAAATCGGCAGAATGCTTACTCCTTGAAAGAAGTTACAAGACTAATATACATCTAATCTTGTAAAAAATGTGATGTGAGATTAAATGCTGTACACCTCATTTAATTCCACGGTACACTAATTGCTCATATGATGCAACACTAATAATTCGTATACAAATCGTATAAGCCACATAAGCAAAAAAAAATTGATAATTTCGCTTTGTATTTTGAGAGCATATGTCATCTGTGAGTAAAATCTCAAAAAATGCAAACCATCCTCGACATAATAATTATAAAAATATAATAATAACGAAATAAATAAATACTATACATACTACATACTGCTATGTGCAATGTCTTCTTATCAGTAATTCATTGTCTCTTTAAAACTGCTACGATTTAGATTGTATTGAATATATTACTATAATCTTTTAATCATCATTTCATTTCACATTAAATATATTACTATAATCTTCTAATATTCATTTTATTAGCAATAGCTCTCCAATAAAGATGAAAACCTTTCTACTGTTAACTATAATTTATGCGATTTTTGCATTTGGATTTGCAGCCGAATCGACTGGATTCTATAAAGACCCCAGTAAATATTGTTTCTTTTCTCAGTTTTAAAGGCTTAACAAAACTAAATATATAAACAATAATATTACGTACCTATTTAGGATACCCTGGTAAATGCTACATAAACGAAAATTTGATATTATCAGCTGGAGAGCAACGCCGTCACACTGATGGTTGTGCGAGGGTCATATGTGGCGGTGAGGGTTACACCACAATTCAAACGTAAGTAATAGTGCCTCTTATTTTTGGTTTACTGGCCCGGTTTAATTATTTCACTCTTTTAGATGCGGTGTTCAAGGTGCTGCACCCCCTTGTAAACTGGGTGACTATGTAAATCCCGATGGAGATTATCCCGATTGTTGCGAGAGGAACGTTGTATGCTAAAGAAAAAATGTAACAATATTTTTTGTTTCCTAAAACTTTTTTTTGTTGTTTTAAAAATTATATGCGTTTGTCGTTTAAACATTTTTCAATTTTTTGTACTTTTCCTGATAATTTTTAGATAAGAGCTTTCTGCAAACTCATATAATTTGTAAATACTTAGAAGGTTGTTTGATACGTTTACAATCAAGAGTAAGCTATGAATTTTGCTCCGATCCAAGGTCAAAAGTTATGTGTGTATTTTTTGTTGTATGTATCAAAAATATCTTATCTCCGCTCTCGCGCAACGCATGACATAAATACAAGGGGCTATGAAGCGTTTAAGTTTTTTGATAATTTTTCTAAGCGTTGACAGTTTGATTACAATTACTAGAGGTGTTTGTAGACATCGTGGTAAATGTAATTGTGTTTAGAAGCGTGCGGTCGAAACTGAAAAAGAATTTCATTTTCTCCGTTTAAAATTACGTCTCCACATTTATTCTCGTTCCCATTGGCGTTTTAATAATTTAAAAGTAAAACTAAAACCTTAAGACTTGCTTTGCACTACATACGTTTTCAAAGGAAATATCGGTATGCTAAGCGTAGGGTAACGTGTTTCTTGTAAGGTGGTGAAAAAATAATTTACTTGCATACGTTTGCTAAACTGCTGAATACACAAGCGAAAGCCAACTTTCAGCTTCGTACCACCATAAAAATAATGCCGACCATGTTGTGACTTCAATGAAAAAGTTGATAATTTCTTGAAATTATTTCTAGTTAACTTACGAAAAAAGCGTAATCTTCTTTTGTTAATTTCTGAATGATGTTTAGATCTCGCCGAAAAATGTGTAATTAATGGGAATCTTATATTATCGGCTGGTAACCAAGTTTCAATTCGAATGTACCATGTGTATTATAAGTTGTTGCAATAACTTTTATGTTACATTTCACAGGTAAGAGTTATGAAATTTGTTGTGTTCAAAAACATTTATAAATTTAATTAGATTTGTATTTTATATAAATTAGTTGCAATTGAAAGCAAGGAGGCGTAACATGCTTTTACGCTAATTTCTAAAGGGGATTATGCCAAAAGCTAATGCGTATGTAGACGATATGGATGAACCCAAAGAAGAATACAAGAAAACTTTATATTTTTTTAGCCACGCAACGTTAACGTGTTTATAATGAGATCTAGAGAAAATAGTGATTTTTAATACCAAGGGTCAAAAACATTCAATTTTCCAATCCATAATATATTACATTTTTAAATTGTTAGACTTAATTGTTCAATGATATGGCATTTAAGGTTTTTTCAGCACTTTTCTCAGAGTTGTTGAAATAAATATATCCTTTTATTCCATTTTATAGATGAAGTGAAACATATTCCAACTTTGCTGTAAAAACCTTTCTTTACCCTACTGCAAGTGGTCGAAAAATTGGTCCGATCCGAAACATTTATAGTATCGTTCTTTCGTAGGTGAAAACACGTCGGTGGATCTTAAAAATTCGCGACTTATAGTATGAACCCAAGGAACAAAACGGACAGACAAGCTACGATCGAGTCCGAAAGTGATTATAATTCGATTGGTAGAATAAAAGGTGGATCTGCCTCAGGTCCTTCTGGACGCAGTATAAATCCCCACAAGCTTACTAAACCTTGTAAGAACCAAAGTTACGCGGCTTGTTTTGATCCTATACGTAGCTACAAGTTATTGCTACGTATTTAAAATATGACAAGTATGTTCTAATTTCCATTCATTTTCTTTTATTGCAGGAAGTTTGTTATTCTCTTTTGACTATTATAGGGGTGCTATAATAAGCAAGAACGAAATGGATTGGGAACATCACATTCGAAATAACTTAGATGACATACTTCGAATGCCATCAACTAAGAGATCGGCAACGCCTATTCGTGTTCGAACAAGAGGGACAAAAAGAAGATCACTTCCGACTTTCTTCTTCTTGACTGAATCGCCATAGAAGTAAGACATAAAAGTAAGGAAAAATCCGTCATCATCCGTTAGGGTCTCGCGATATAGGGGCCGAATAGGTGGTGTTTAGGCTTGGGACTCCCCCGTTCCGTCTATGGACAATATACGATCACCTATTGATTTCCGTTAAGTATAGGTATTCTAAGTTTAACGTTTAGCTGTTAGGATCTTTAATACCATAAGTGATTTAATAAACAGAAGTCGAGTTATGAAGTCAACCGCGATTAGGGTTTTCTTTTAATGAGTGGAGAATGCACCAGGCTTGAATAAAGAAGGATAAATAACATCCTGCGCAACCTAAAAAGTCTATCTATAGGTTATAAACGACCAGTTCGACGCAGCAAAAAATATCCTATATTTCATATCCTCGACTCTTTTTAAAAAGAAAATTCTGGTCCTGATAAATTTAAAAATGTAATAATTTTGCACTAATTGTGGCAGGATCAACGCACAAATTAAGCTGAATTTCGAATTTAAGTTATGTCAAACAAGCAATTTCAGACCGGGAATGTTCGTCTAGGCAAAATTTTGAAGTTAAAGTAATCATAATTTCAGCAAACACTACATTGCTCCCATGTCAACCATGATCGACGATGTAAGCACTTTGTGTCGTTAGTGGTACAAGTGGTATGTGGATATAAATATGGCCTTTTTAATTTATAGTGAAATCAATAATTTGTTGTTGAGTTACACTGAAAGGTCGATGTGTCCGTACCTTGCATTTTTAGGTGATCAGTCTTTATTTTTTTGAAGTTGAGAATTTATGGAGTATGCGCTTGCTTATTACATTTTTAGTGTACGTCCTTGTCATAATCGAAATCGTGCAGTATATGTTCAACATGGTTGTTTATCGTTTCAGTTTAGTGAAGTAATTGCTTCAATTAAACATGCCATCGGAACTTCACATTCAAAATGAAACTAATTAAATTCCTTAAAATTGATTGTAATTTTAGCGCCAAAAGAGATAAGTAAAAAATGAAGAAAGTTATACTCACTTTGCGACGAAGTCTTAACACCTGGTAGTTCAGATCAACAGTTCTCGTCCAATGAGTCTTGGAATTCATTGTTTTTGAGCTTTTTTGTTTCTCCAGTCCGTTTTTTGTCATCAAAATTACCAAATTTAAACCGTTGGAAGCAAAACTGACAATTGGAATTTGATGGAGCAGCATCAGCATAAACCTTTGAACGTGTTTGGTGGGCCTCGGCAGCAATCTAGATTTTAAGTGCTCCATGATTACCGTCGACGCACACCGTATGAGTCAATAATATTAAAAAAAAAAATGGTGCTTTGGGAAGCAATAATGAAATAGCCACGATTGTATTCGTCACGTTATAATCATCAGCTTCAGTCTCCACCATAAAAACATCATAACCATCATCATCATAAATATTATCAGCAAACGAAGCATATAGAAATGCTTTATATGAAAAGAAGATCTTCTCTAAAATAGATTTAGTGAAGACTTATTTCTAAGTCCTTTCAGAGTAGATATACTCAAAACAGCCACTGTCATCCGAATTTACATCCGAATTTAGATGAACATATGTTGAACCAATTGTAAAAAAAAGACAAATATTTTAAACATATGTAACAATGAGAAATAGCTTTAATTTGCTGTAAAACAACAACAAAAACATAGAGATCATTGTGGTTCTATATTATCGGTTTTCTTGACATTGTTCGATGGACAATAGAAACAAAGAGGAAAGAGAAGAAAAATTTGGCGAAAATTCGATGCAGATATCATCCAAATTAGTTCGTTTAAAAAAATGTATATAAAAATAAAGTCTAAAACAAAAGAAAAGAGTATATTTAAACATTAACCAAAAGCCTGAAAATTTCCCTACAGATAAGTATAGAACAAAAAATGGTAACAAAATTTTCACATTTACATTTTATTGGAAAATCTGAAAGCACTCAATTATATAAAACAAATCTTTTTTGACAAATTTTTAACTATTTCAAATTCATTAAACGTTTTTAAATTCAGAAGAAAATTTTTAAATTCATCAACCATTTCTGCAATCTTCATTTAAAAGTCGGTGTCTTTGTATTTTTTTGATGTTATCTGTGCGAAAGTGCTTGTGTGCAGTGCAACCTAATTGAAGAGATATTATTAATATGGTGTCATTGCATCATTGTATACATTCAATGCAACTGCACAACAACAAAACCTAATAAATGAACATTTAGTAGCAAACATTTCCGATGGAATCATTTCCCTATTAATATTGCCTGCTTTGGGATTTATTCAAAATTTTATTTGCTGGCAATAACGCCAAATAATCGGAGAAGATTTATGTTTGATGGGTTGTGCTGCTAATTATATGCTAATTGATTCGGATGCGTCTCTTCTACTACGTGGATCATGGTTTGAGGCTTTTTGATGTCTAAATTGAATTTAAATAAGCGTAATGTGAACATGTAAGTTGTGGCCACATCTATATAAAAAAAAATTTATGAATAATTAATAATTTTAAAGATCACCGATTTGTAAAATACTAATACTCTTATTATAGTTGATTTAATTTTTGTTTATATTACTATTTTTTTGTTATTAAATTAAAAGAAATAAGGGTAAATTAACGTTAACGATAAATGTCAAACATATTATTTAAATAAATATTATTGTAACGTAAACGAAAAAAGTAAGAATTAAAATAAAACTGATTTAAATTATGAGAGGTATGTACATTAGAGGGATCTTCGGACCCAACTTCGGAGTCCTCTTATAAACCGCGTTATGGGCCCAAGGGAGACAAACGGTCAGGTTGGGTGAAGAATGGGTCCACGGGCATGGATAAGTACTTGCAAATTCTTTAGTGTGACAGTCCTTGGAGTGTCCGTGAGCAGGTTATAGAAACCCTCCTACATCTCACCAACTAGCTAGAAACCAGTCAGAAAATAAAATATTTAATTTTATTTATTAATTGTTTCTATTTCTGGGTAAAGAGATACTTTGCATGAAAATTGTCCAACTGGGTGTGGTCTAATCCCTACAGGGATTGGTCTAAATTTTCCATATTACCTTTTTCTATTTTTAGAATTAGACTGTTTTATTACAGAATGGATCACTTAACATGAGAACTTTCATATCAGATGTGGCCTAAAAACTAGACTATGTGGGCCAAATTTTTAAAACTGGGCCTTAATTTAATCCTACAAAATTAGTAACATCGACCAATTTTCATCATAAAATTTCAGAAGCTAAATCTTTTTAATTTTCTTGAGTGACAAGCGAATTTAAATTAATTCAAATACTCTGAATCGATGGCTACCATAAAATCTTGTTTATCCTAAAGCATTGTAAACATCTTCAAGGTTTTTAGAATATACATTGCACCTATGCAACATATATGGTTGTATAGAAAGTACAAGTTTATCATATGAAAATGATAAAAAATATTCCATACAAAGTATTGTACATCTGAAAGTTTTTGGTTGCCATGGCAAAAAATCACCTGCTCTTTTGAGACAAACCAGTTATTGAGCCACTTTCCTACATTTTGGTAAATAGTGAAACGCTGGAAACCGGTTTTTACTTATATATTCATTTCGGCCTACAGTATAAATGCAAACAAACGAAGATTGAAGGGAACCGTTAAAAGCATAAAAAAATTCAATGTAAATAGTTTTTACAGCATTTTTAGGGTTAACATGATGTTAGTGAAATCTGTGCGGAAATTTTGATTTTATATGTACATGCAACGCTAGTAGAAATGCACTATTACACGAAAGAGCAAATGCATTCTTAACGTTGCATAATATTTCAAAAACAATGAAAGTTTGGCAACCATATCCCGTAAATTTCGTACAAATTATAGTCCCCTTGATAACTTTGTTAAACGTCGTAATAGTCGCATTTGAGATTCAGAGAATCCCTACATAATTGTCGAAAAAAAAAATGTATGTGACCGACATCTGTTCTTTACCATAAGATAATTCAGTTGCTGCATGAAACATTCCCTGATCGCGTGCTCTCTCGTTTCGGGGATCAGAGTTGGACCCCTAGACCGCTAACGTCGTTTGACGTCGAAGGTCAATGCCAACGAGCGCGCAACCACTCATGCGTTGGACGAGAAGATTCGACGCTATATTAACGAAGTTCAGCCCCTTTTATGCAAAATGGTATTGGAATATTTCGATGAAAGAATGCGTATGTGCCAGCAAAACCGCCAAAACCATTTTCCCGATGTGCTATTTCGCACATAGCTCTAGCCTATATGCATTATGAATCAATAAAAAAATTACAATTAAATAAAAGTTTTCTATTTGATTCAAAATTTCAATAAAGCCGATAGCCATAGATGCTGATGGTCTAAGACCCAAATCTTAGAATTTATTTCTCTGGTTAAAAAATTAATAATAATATTTAATTCATATCTTGTGTAAATTTTAGGACGCCTTATGTGATATATTTTTCTTTCTTGCTTGACTTCACGGGGTTGAACCTCGCTGTTTTACAAAATTCTGTTTTTTCAAGCTCGTTGTGGTGGACTACTTATGACGTTCTGTTTCTTTTTTTTAAATAATTCCCGCTCGTTACTGATAAACACGAAGCCTGCTCCCAAAGATTGCTTAGAAACCTTTCAAGTTATTCAAAAAAATGTTAAACTAAGAAACTTGCAAAAAAATATAATAAATAGAAATTATAGTTGAAACATTTGTTTTTGTGGTCCAAATACGAAGCGGTTGTAAAAAACGAATATCGTTGTGCTGCCAATAGATGAATTCTCGCATTGAAAAAACCCTAAATCGATCTAAGCCTGTCTGACCGTTTGTCCGTATGATGTGTGTCCATGCCATTTTGTGTTCAAGCTACAAATCGCAATTTTTGAGATATTTTGATGAAATTTGGCGCACAGACGTAGTTCGGCCAAAGGACGAACGCTTTTGAAAATGGTTCGGATAAGTCCACTAAAAAATCGTTAGGTGAAAAAATTTCAAATTTTCAAAATTTCTCTCTTGGCATTCTAAATTAATGTGAAGATTTGGACTGACTGGGACAATTTTTTGAACCATCCCTCATATAAGCGTTCCTTCGGAAGCTGAACCTTTATATGGTAACAAGTAAAAATATTACAGTCGGGCGACAGGTACCATTAGATACCGTCCACCACTTCGCCGACTGCAGTTATTCGCTGGTTTTCGTAATAATATACCAAAAATTTTTATGAAAGCCCGTTATTGTAAGGTTATATTTTCTCTCGATTTATTTTTCTTTTTGTTAAAACTCTCATATGAATTATTAAGATATCATGAGATATCTTATCTGGAGTAGGGGAAGAAATAGACGCAGATGGGTCAAATTAAAAAGGAAGTTGGAAAGTTAGGGAGAAAGTTGGTTTTATTATGAATCTGTATAGATCGGAAAATCAGCTTCTCGCTGGAGACTTCCCCTTCAGGTAGCTATTTTCGACATAAGAACAGAAATTAATTATTTACGACTACGGCATGTTGAAAACACAATTGAGTTTAGGCAAGGCAAATATCTTGAATTATTACACTAATAAAATTCGAGAAAATAATTTCTTGCACTTCAGCTGCTATTATGGCAAGTATCGACACTTAACAGTGGGACTTCATTTGGGAAATAGCGTCCCCGAGGTCATTTAGTATTTAACATT